CCGAGGTTTGCGATCCCGTTGCCGGTCCCGGTCCGGTACGGGCGCGACACTGAGGGTTGCAATCCGTTGCCGGACACGAAAAAAGATAAAAAGGAAAAAAAAAAAAAAAAAGATGACCGGTAAGGGGATCTTAACCCTTGACTTGGTGGTGCCAGCACCACGCTCACCCAGTGAGCAAACCGGCCATCCCTATATGGGATCCGAACCCGTGGCCTTGGTGTTATCAGCACCACACTCTCCCGAGTGAGCCACGGGCCGGCCCAGCAATTTTCAAGTATACAATATATTGTTATTAACTGTAGTCGCCATGATGTACACTAGATCTCTTGAATTTATCCCTGCTGCCTACTTAAAATTTTTGTTCATTCTTCAACATCTCCCCAATGCCCTCATTCCATAGTCTCTGGTTAACCACCACTTACTTTCTGTTTCTAGGAGTTTGACTTTTTTTTTTCTTTTTTGGCAGCTGGCCAGTATAGGGATCTGAACCCTTGACCTTGGTGTTACAAGGTTATGCTCTAACTAACTGAGCTAACTAGCCAGCCTGAGTTCAACTTTTTTACACTCCACATGTAAGTCAAGTCATGCAGAATTTGTCTTTCTGTGCCTGGCTTATTTCGCTTAACATAATGTCCTCCAGGTTCATCCATGTTGTCACAAATGATACAATTTCCTTCCTTTTAAGGCTGAATGGTATTCCATTGTATATATATATATACACACACCACATTTTTTAATCTATTCTGTTTATGAACACTTAGGTTGATTCCATACCTTGGCTATTGTGAATAATGCTGCAATAAATATGGGAATGCAGATATCTCTCCAAGACACTGTTTTCACATCCTTTGGATACATACTCAGTAGTGGGATTGCTCGATCATATTGTAGCTCTATTTTTAATTTTTTGAAGAACGTCCATACTGCTTTCCATAATGGCAACAATCTATATCTCGACTAAGGTATTATGTATACATGAGATGTATACATTTGTTACTTATCAAACTGAAACATTATGATCTATGCATTTTACTGTATGTAATTATATATCAATTTTTTAAAAAAAATCTACAATACCAAGTTTTAGAGATGAGGTAGAGCAAACTGGAACTCTCATACACGGCTGGTGGGAGTATAAATGGTACAACCATGTTGGAAAGCTGTTTGGAAGTACCTGCGGATGCTGAACACACGCACCCAATGACTTAGCAATTCCACTTCTAGGTAAATACCCAGAGGAAATATGCTCCTTTTACAAGGCACCAAAAACTTGTAAAAAAAAAGAGTTCTTAGTATCACTATTCAGAATAGCAAAAACCTACCTGAATCTAATAAAGAATGTCTAGAAAAAACCTCAGCAAACATTTTTAATTGCAAAATGATGAAAACCTTCCCTCTGATACCAGAAATAAGTAAAATATGCTATTTATCACCACTTTCAGGCAATACTGTACTGTAGATCCTAGCCAGTGCGATCAAGCAAGAAAAACTAATAAAAAGTATAAGCACTGGAACAGAAGAAATAAAACTGTCATTATTTGCAGATGACATGACTATTTTGGTAGAAAGTCCTAAAGAAGCTACAATTAAAATCACTCAAATTAAGAAGTAAATTTAGAAAGGTCTCTGGATACAAGGTCAATATACTGTATAAAAATTAAATATATTTATATACCTATATATTAATAAACAATTAAAAACTAAAAACTTTGAACTATGCTATTTATTGTACCATCAAAAAAACCAAAATACAGGGCCGACCCCGTGGCTCACTAGGGTGAGTGCAACACTGGGAGCGCAGCAGCGCTCCCACCGCAGGTTCGGATCCTATATAGGGATGACCGGTTCGCTCACTGGCTGAGCGTGGTGCGGGCGACACCAAGCCATGGGTTGCGATCCCCTTACCGGTCACAGAAAAGAAAAAAAAAAATCAAAATACGATAAAAGATATACAAGGCTTTTACACAGAAAACTGTAACCCATAATTGAGACAAAATGAAAGAAAACCTAAATACACAGGAAGATATGTCATGCTGATAAACTGAGAAATTCAATACAGCAAAATGTCAATTCTACAAAAACAATGTATAGAGTCAATGCAATCCTAGCTGGTTTTATTGACAGGCTGATTCTAAAATGTATATGGAAATACAAAAGGCCAAATATAGCCCATATAGAAGAATATCAAGACAATATAGAAGAATATCAACCCTTATTATAAAGTTACAATAATTATGAGTCTCTTTAGCTCAAGGATGGAAAAATAGACCAACACAACAAAATAGAGCCTAGAGACATCCACACATATGTGGACAATGAATTTGTAACAAAGTTAGCACTGCAGAGTGACAGAAAAAACTAATAGTTTTCTCAATAAATAGTCTTGGGTCAACTGGAAATCCATATTAAAAAATGAAACTTGATTCCTACTTATATCTATGACTAGGCATATACTTAAAAGAAATGCATACACATGTGCACCAAAAGACACATACAAGAATGCTCATAGCAGCATTATTTGTTATAACCCAAACATGAAACAATCCAAATGTCCATCAACATTAGAATGGATAAATAAATCGTCGTAAGTAACATAATACCATACAAAAATGGAAATGAACAAACACCACAATATGGATGAAACTCACAATGTTGACAGATAGAAACCAGATATAAATCAATAGGCAATATAAGTATGATTTTATGCATGTGTGTGTGAGAGAGAGAGATGACATGCGTAGTCAGGTTAATGGTACCTTTGGAGATAACAGAGGAGATGGTGACTGAGAGGGAACATGAGGGGGCTTCTGGGGTGTTTGATGTTCTATTCTTGGCCTGGACAGGTGATGGTTACACTGGTGTGTTTACTTTGTGGTAATTCACTAAACTATACACTTCGGATTTGTCTGCTTTTATGTGTGTATGATACATATCAACTTAAAGTCTTTAAAAGCCCCATACACACACACCAAAAAAAAAAAAAAAAAAGACAAACTTTTTTGGGGGATGCATGCTTGGGTATTACAACTCTAAAGAAAAGCAAAGTTACATAAAAATTAGAATAATAATTACCTTTTGCGGGGTGGGAGGAGAAACAGTGATTGGGGGTGGGCTCAAGGGCTTCTGAATTGCTGTAATGTTGGATATCTTGACCGGGATGGTGATTATGCAGGTAGTGGCTTTGTGATAAATCACTGAGCTGTACATTTATTTTGTACACTTTTCTGTGAGTTACATTTCACAATATAACAGTACATAAAATAACCTCAGTGGATGGTCTTAACAGCTGATTAGACACAGCTCAAGAAAGAATTGTGTGAGATGTTATCCTTCAAGGGTTCAGATCCCTGTACCAGCCAGCCACCAAAAGAAAAAAGGACATTATCCAAAATGCAGCCTACAGATGAAAATACGGAACAGAGGCTAAGAGACATGCATAGTAGAGAGTGAAGAGTAGCATGTGTCTAATCAGAGTTCCAGAAGGAAAGCAGAAAGAAGCAATATTTAAAGAATATATTTATATACATATATAAATATTTGTATATTTATATGGCAGAGAATTTTTCAGAAGTGATGAGAGACACTAAACCACAGATTCAAGAAGCTTAACAGGGCCGAGCCCATGGCGCACTCGGGAGAGTGCGGCGCTGGGAGTGCAGCAGCGCTCCCGCCGCAGGTTCGGATCCTATATAGGGATGGCCGGTGCACTCACTGGCTGAGCGCGGTGCGGCCGGTCTCAAAAAGGACAAAAAAAAAAAAAAAAAAAAAGAAGCTTAACAAATCCATAGCAGCATAAATAAAAAGAAACCCATGCCTAGATACAGTATAGTGTACCCAAAAAACACCAAAGACAAGGAAAAAAATCTTTTTTTTTCTTTTTGCATCTTGCAGTATGAGAATCTGAACTCTTAACCTTGGTGTTACAAAGCTGTGCTCTAACCAACTGAGCTAACTGGAAAAAAAAATCTAAAAAAGTAGTTGAGGGGGGGCAGAAAAGATGCAGGGTAAATTCATGGCTGCACCAGGAGAACACAAGCACAGTTCACACTGGGGCACATGTCCATGTGTTGTGCCCTCCTGTGCCTGCAAGAGGGTACCTGCACAAAGCATAACCCCCCATACATGCACATACTGTGCTGTACACTCACAGCCGGTGCTCACCCTGATGACCTGTTAGAACAGGTACACAACCAGAGCTGAGCCACAAGCCAGCTGAGGCCACTGACCCCTAAGAAACCTGCTCAGCCCAATGCTGGGTGAGCTGGAACCATCAAGGGTGGGGGAGAAAAGAGCAGGGAACCAAGTGACTAGGTCTGGGGAGTCCAGCCCAGAACAGAAGCTCCCCAAATCCTCTGGTCCAGTGCTCCTGCCACCATCTTGAGAGGCCTGAGAGGCCAGAGGGGCAGTGCTGTTCCATGCATTCTCCTTCTGGTCACAGGCTCAGAACACCCATCATGTGACCCACCAGTGCACCCACCTGGCCTCAGGCACAGCACATCTTTCCTCGTTCCACACAAATTTCTTCAGCACGTCAGAGCAGCAATATTGGTTGTAACAGGAACCACAGCAGAAATCAGGACAGGACTCGGGGAAGAGGTTGCGTCCATGGGAAGTTATACACAACTCACTATGGGCTGGAGCAGAGAAACACACCTGTTCACCTATGGCCCACCGGTGGACAGGAACACCCCCTACCACCTGCTGGGGACCGTCAGTTTTGAGTCCTTATTCCCTCTTTCCATCACTCAGCCAAAGTAGCCTCAGTCCCTGATGGACACAGCAACTTCAGGAGCCCAATCCTCACAGACCACCCCCTGACAGCAGTCTGACTCCTGACCAATTCATAGTCAGTCACAGTCATACCTGTCACATAAGTATCCATAAAGCACTTAGCCTGGGCTGGGCCTGCAGCAGGTGCCCAGAAAATTTTGTGCCAGCCCAGCCACTCCCCAGCCAACACAGCACCTTCCCCAGCACAGCCACCAGACACAAGCATGCTGGGCCATCTCTGAGCCATCCTAGTCACTGGCCACCTCTCAACCTCTGGCCACTGATCCACCCAGCCTTGCCCTCTCTCCTGGGCCACAGCAGAGTTGCCAGTGACTAAGATGGATTGGGCTCCCTCTTTCTCCTGCCAGTCCACTGGCCTTCTAAAGGAGAGTGGACTTTCTAAGTGTGAGTCTAACTGGGTCACTCCTGGCTCTCAGACCTCCCCTGGTCCCCACTGCTTCAGGATCAAGCCCAAACTCCACGAAGCAGGGTCTAGACTGCAAAGGACCCTGAAGATCACTCCACCTTCCCGGTCTATCCACACTCTGGCCACATTCTTGCGTGTTTTCCATCTCCCACCTTCAACTGTAATCCTTCAAGGCCTTAATCCAGGCCACCTCCTCCAGAAGCTGCCCTGGCCCAGCAGTCACACAGCTGGACAGGAACACCCCCTACCACCTGCTGGGGACTATCAGTTCTGAATGCTTATTCCCTCTCCCCATCGCTCGGCCACAGCAGCCTCAGCCCCTGCTGGTCACAGCAACTTCAGGAGCCCAGTCCTCAGAGTGTCCATAAAGCACGTAGCCCTGGGCTGGGCCTGCAGCAGGTGCCTAGGCAATGTTTGTGCCCTCAGTGGCCAGGGCTCCAAGGCAGTAGCACCATCTGAAGCCCTGGAGCCATCCCAAGGCTCTCAGCCAGAGTTGGGATCTAGCATCACCATAACAGGCCTCAATATACAAGGTCAGGCTGAAGGGACCTGACTGACAATAAATATGGGAAATGACCCAGGGCTTTGGGTGACCACAAGGTTTGCAAACCTCCAGGAAGATGTCACAGCCAAATGTTCCCGTGTATCCTTAGGCTACATGAGCAGAGACCTAGTGCCACAAGCAGGAGGGAACAGAACCAGATTCTTCCAGTGCAGACCCCAAATAGAACAACTGGTGCAGCAAGGCCCATATGACTTCAGTAGGCAGGGGACGTGTCTGATAATAATCCCTGAGGTGTGGCTATGTTGGCCTGGAAACAGTCTTGGCACAGCATACGGACTCTGGCAACCCAGGCCGGCCAGGCACCCAGGCAGTGTGTGGTGTCTGGAACCCCAGCCTGGTCCATGTATCATGCGCCCTGGGATATATGTCAGTGGAGAAAGGCCCAAAGACAGAGACATTGAGTGACCTCCTTGAGAAAAGATAACTTGCACTTTGTTCTTGGAACTCCAAGCAGAACCCTGCTCTGAGCAAACAAAGCCACGGAGCAGAGGATCGGACCATTGACAGGCCCAGTTCAGCCAGCTGTCCACCCGCAAGCGGGTATCATCAGCATGGCCCATGCTGCTGGGTGGCTCAGGTGAAGCCACCACCAGCAGGGTCTTTACAGGAACAGTCACAGCCCAGCCCTAGCCTCTGAACTGAAGATGCACAGTGGTGAGTTTATTTTGGCCAAGAGTCCTTCACACAAATGCTCTTCTGACCGTCTGACACTCTGGACGAGGCTCTCCAGACCTCACTGGGACACGGACCCTCCTACAGACTCACTCCAGGGGCCAGCTGATTCTGGGTGCAGGACTCCTTCTCATTTCCAACTGCCGGTCCTTCAGATTCATCCGAACGCCCAGGAAATAAAGCCCTTCCTCTTCAGGAAGCCACCCACCCCAAAGGGGTCTTCCCATGGCTGGGCAGGGAGCTGCTCCAATTCCCACCCCTAAAAGGCTGTGAATCATCAGTCTACGATCAACACACACACTGTTGTCTCCTCTTCCCCAGAGGCCAGCCTCAACGCCCAGCATCTCAAGGAACACAAGGGCCATGGAGGCAGCGGGTGGGGGCTGAGAGGGAAGGCTCTGATGGAGGAGACAGGCCTCTCTGCTGTTACCACCTGGGGCTAAAGCCAGGCAGGGACTCCTGTCCCGGCCTCTGGGGATCCAATCCCCTGGAACATCAGAGCGAGGGCAGACCCGCCCCCACCGTTCCAGTACAGAACAAAGGTGGCAGCTGTCTGGGGTCTGGGCAGCGTCAGTTCAGGCAGGTAGGCTGGGGGAGAGGAGAGGTCCGACGCCGGGTTCGCTGACAACCTCGGGGCTATTAAGGGTCTGTGGGGGTCACTGTAGGGCTGGTGCTGCCTGGATCGCTTCAGGGACAGCGCGAGGAAGTGTCTGCACACACACACACGCACACGTACACACACGCACACACACGCGCGCACACACACACACACACGCACAGCCCGTCCTGGCAGGACAAACCGCCCGCACCCCCACCCCATGCTCACCACCGGGAGGCGGCGGTAGCAGCAGGAGCAGCAACAGAATCCGTGGCGCGCGGGCCCATGCAACCATGGCTGGGTGGGCGGACAGACGGACGGACAGACGGACAGAAGCAGCCCCGGGTCGTTGCGCTGCCGCAGCCTCAGCGACCCGCGCGGGTGCCCCGCTTCCTCGCCCCGCCCCGGCCGGTTCCCGGAACCCCCGCCCAGGAGAGGGAGGAAGGCAGGGAGGGGAAGCGGACGCCCCTCCCAGCCCCGGGGCCACCTCCAAGCCGGGTGTCTGCGCGAAAACTTGGGCCCCAATTCCGGGAGGCGCCGGGCGACGCTTCGAAGTTGCCTTCCGCTCACCCTTGCTTTCTGGAGGGGGTCTCCTGTCCCCAGCCCTCGGGGCCGGCAGGGCGTCCCCGCGGGAATCCACCCTAACACTTCCGTGGCCGGCCACAGCCCCTGCCATCCCGCTCCACGGTTTCCTCTTTTGCCCAACGGATCCTCACTCGCCCGAGGGCTACCTGAGGACCAGGCGAGGTGATGGGGGGACAGTGCCCAGCGCAGACCTTGGCACTCTAGGCGCCCAGCAAATGTCCGTTGCCTTTTGGAAGCCCATTCCCTAGACTTCGCAGGACCCCAACTCTGAGGACACTCCATCCCTGCCCCTTGGGATGATACCTTCATCCCTGTAGTGATCCCGGCCCCCAGCACAGGCAGGCTCACCCCTGGCTCAGGAAACCAGGACTGAAGTTAGCAACTGGCAGCTCCTAGGGCACATACTAGGCCCTCGTGGTGCAGGGCTAACAGGCCCCCACTGTCCCTACCATGGGGCAGGGGTCTGGGCAGAGCCAGGGAAAGGGAGTTTGGACATTTTTCTTTTTGTGCCCAGGGTTCCTGACCTGCCCCCACCCTGCACCTGGTACAATCAGTACATTGTACTCAAGGCAGAAAATATGAAATGTCACACTAATGGGACCCTGAGCCAATCTGTGCATCCCATGTGCCACCACATATTTCTCAACTGAGGGCAGGGGCATTGCTGTGAACAGAGCAAGACCTGGGATGTCCCCAGCACAGTTTCCCAGGCGAGAGTGTTAGAATAGGGAAAGGAAGGCCTAGATCTCCAGTAAGCCTTCATCACCACTTGGCCAAGAAAGGTTTAAGATTCACCATGCCCAGCATACACATGGGGAGCAGGGATATCACTGTCCCTAGGAAGGATGCCCTCTGGGAGGGGCTTAATGAGGGGCCTAAGACACATCCTCCCTGACACAGCCCAGCCTCATCCCACCTCTGCCTCCTAAACTTTACTCTCCAAAGCTGGACACAGCCCAGGTCCCCCTTCCCCTGCAGAATGGCCACTACATGCTTCCCTCCACGCCCACCTCTCCAGTTGCCCTCTGATCTGTGCACCACACCCTGGGTGTCAGCCTTCTGCATCCCCAGAAGTTGATCATTCCATTCTGCACATCCTCCTATTTAGTTTCTTGTCCTGTGGATTTCCTTCCAGTTCCTGCCCACCAGCCAAGCTCCTAACAGTTATCCTTTCTCACCTCCCATCAGCTGCCTTTGGCCTCTCTGCTCTGCTGCCCCCACCTCTAGATCCGCTAAGGGCCTCTCACTTGGCCATGATCTCTCTGACCTTTTCACTATCGGGCTCCCCCATACCCCCTCGCAGTTCACAGACAGCTCCTGAGACCTTCACGGTAGAGCATGGCAGGGAGCCAGGACCCACCTAGAGCTGTGCATGGGCAGGAGAGGTTGCAGGACAGGACCCACCCTAGTAGCTTGGAAATCGCAATCACGCATCTGACAGGCATGTGCCCACGTGTGTGAGCATTCCCTGTCAGTCAGGCCTGCAAAGCCTGGAAACAGTATTTCCACGAGTTGCCTGGAGAAAATGGCCCCTCCAAGGCAGAAATCAAACTCACTGTGCCAAATGTGGGGTCTCAACAGGATTGAGGTGACCCAAATCCATACAAGGACACATAATGTGAAGATCCACACCAGCTGGACAAGCTCACTAAAAAAAAAATGCCAGGCCACAGGTGTAGGGCCTGAGGGCAGGTGGAGATGAGTGGGGCGCCCCCTCACACAGCCTTTCTTATCAGCCCTCTCCCCCGCACTCCTTTCACTCCAGCAGGTGCCCTCCCCTCATCAGTCCTCTGGTTCTTGTTGAGTTTAGCCATTAGAAAGCAGTGGCAAGAAGCGAGAGGAGAGTACATGTGTGGGGCTGTTCCCTGCTCCTTCCTGCAGTTCCTGTGGGTAGTTACGCACCCCCACTCCTAGGCAATGTCCACTCTGTTTCTCTCCCCCTCCCCCCGGCCAGATTATAGAAACTGGAGGTGGAAGGTAGGAGATGGGAGGTTAATAGGGAGTTGGGGGGTGGTCCCACCTGGTTCCAGTAACCCTTCCCTGCCTTGCTCCTGCAGGCCTCACCGATGAGGCCTGGGTGCTGCACCAAGCCTAGGTGGCTGCCCAGCCTACCTACGGCTCTGTAAACAGCACTTTTATTAAACTCTCTAGAACGACTGTTTCCTGCTGGGACCTTGGTTACAGACTATAGGTGGGAACTCTGCATGGGGGCTTAGGGCCAAAGCAATCCCCAGTGATACTCAGAAAGGCCAGTGATTGACAGGGTGGGTGACCAGGTGTGGATGCAGCCCCTCAGCCCTGGTCTGACCCACAGGGCCAGAATTGCTAAATGCTAGAGTGCTGCTTATGGGGCCCTGGCCATCCCTCCTCACCCAATGCCAGTGCCCATTTCCTCCATTTCAGAAAGTGGTCTTGCCAGATACTTGTTCTTCCAGCTTCCTTTGACCCAGGGCAAGGGCTTTTGCCCTAAGCCCAACCAATCAGATGTACCTTCTCTGGAGTCTGATGGTGCTGGCGACCAGCTGCAGGACAACAGACACCCTGCTTTAGTGAGAGGCCATAGCAGCTGCGGCAGCAGCATGCAGTATCTATGCCTAAGGTGAGGGCTGTGTGAGTCACAAAGTCCCCTACTTGTCCCTGGTGGCAGTGGCATGCTCACCAGGCCAAAGCAGAACTGTGGTTTGGGCTGGAGACTACTCTGCATGGCCTCAGAGCCTTGCCCTCCAGTCCCCTTGGTGGCTCTGAGAGCTGCACAAGTTCTTTTTCATAAATTGGACTTCTGATTAAGTTGGGTAGAGTCATTTCCCTCCAACTGATAGGAAAGTTACCAGGAATAGTAGCAGGTGCCAGGAGAAATGGGGGTGTGTCCCGACTGGTCATCTGCCTGGTTGGAACTAAAGGTGGTAGAAATTCAGCTAGACTGAACGGAAGGGCTCTGACAACCCATGGCAGGAAGAGGAGACAGCTAGTAAAGTCACCACTGGATGTGTGGTATAATAAAAGATAAATGTTTGTCTTAGTTCCCAGTTCCTGGCAGGGAGCTCCTAAAACTTTGGAATTTACCGTCTTTCATATGCTAATGATTCCCAGCAGGGGGCGGTAGATGGCTTCAGGATTTGGGCTGACTGCCAGAAACTGGAAACCAGGATAAGAGTGTTGGAAATTTCAGCCCCATCCCCCAACTGCCGGGGTGTGTGTGTGGGGGGGGGAGGTAGAGATTAAGTTCAATTACCAATAGCCACTGATTTAATCAATCATGCCTTTGTAATGAAACCTCCATAAAAACCCTTAAACGGTGGGGTTCCAGGAGCTTCCAGGTTGGTGAACACATTGATGTGCTGGAAGCTGGTGTGCTCTCTACCCCACCCCCCCACCCCACCCCCACGCCAAACCTCGCCCTGTGAGTCTCTTCCATCTGACTTGTCAAAAGACAAAATTACAACACATTTAGTTTATAGATCAAATTGGCTTTTATTCACAATTCATGAATGGCCTCCATTCTACAAACAAATGAGAGCTCCCACTGGGCAATAACACAACAGTGGGTTTTGAAAGGTGAGAACCAGGAAACAGAACAATAGAAAAAAAAGCTGACTGGTTAACAGCAGCTCATCTCAGGTGACTTTTTTCATAAAGGTTACTTAGAAAAGACTTTTTTCTTTCCCTTTTTCTTTTTTTTTAAGTCTAGTAGAAAAAGATAATTTTTCAAAAAGACTAGTTAAGTGACACAGTGGGAGTGGAGGAGGAACAAAAAAATCTGTAACTGGTTGTGATCACTGAGTTGTCAACACCACCGCACTTGACCGCCAGAGGAGACTTGCCTACTACGCTGACTCAGGTGGACTGGAATCTGCTGTTTTCAGGAAAAACAAACTGCTCTCTTTGGGGATAAATCTGCTTCCTTCACATTTCCATTTGTTTATGTGACTCCATTTTGGTTTGGTCTGGTCTGTTGGGGTCTAGTGAAAGAGCTCAGTCCAGAATAGCGGCCTCCCAAAATTTTTAACAGGCTGTTACTGAATTGCATACTTTACATCCTTTATAATAAACCAGTATATATAAGTAAAGTGTTTTCCTGAGTTCTGTGAGTCATTCTAGTGAATCATAGAACCTGAGGAGGGGGTTGTGGGAATCCCCGATTTATAGCTGGCCAGTCAGAAGCGTGGGTGCCTCTACGCCCCAGATTTTTGTCTATCACCTGAAGTGGGGCAGCGTTTGTGGGACTGAGCCCTTAACCTGTGGGATCTGTGCTGACTCCAGGAGTTGGTGTAAGAATTGAATTGAACTAAATTGTTGGACACCCAGCTGGTGTCAGGATCAGAGAACTGGTTGATGGTGTGAACGACCCTCCACCCACCCCATACCCCTCCCCGCACAATTTGGTATCAGAAAAAAATAAAAAGACACTGTAGGAGGCCAGTCAGATTATGAACACGTTGAAACAAGGCCTTATAACAGCCATGAAAGACATGAGAAATCCACTGATTCACTGATTGTGGTGTGAGGTGGTTGCTTCTAAAGGCACCAAACAGGGGCCTGGCAGATTAGCTCAGGTGGTTAGAGGGCCATGTTATAACACCAAGGTCAAGAGTTCAGATCCCCTTATTAGCCAGCTGCCAAAAGAGAAAAAAAAAGAAAAAAGAAAACAAAGGCACCAAACAGCTTAAAGAAAGAGAATGACAGGTCAAATTCTTAGCCACTTGTGTCAAAACACAAACTGAAAAAAACGTTCTCAACTCTGCTAATGTTCTCACCTCTGCTAAAGGGGTCTCTTGCAGCTGTGGGGCTGAGACAGCCCATTATCAAACTCAAGGTCTGATTCTGAGTTCAGATTAAAATACTGGTCTCACTGAGTCCCTTATGTGAAAGTTAGGCACTGATCAGGATAGACGCTGGGAAACTGGACTCCACATGTCTACCTCCAGTGGTCGGTCCTCAGTCTACCTTCCTTGACCCACCAGCTTCAGTGACACAGCAGGCCACTCCCTCCTCCTGCACACACTCCTCACACTGCTGCTTCTCAGGCTGCTTTGCTGGCTCTTCCTCATTGCCAATGTGGGGTGCCCAGGGCTTGGTCCTTAGGCCTCATTGCTTCTCTATTTTTACTCCCCTTGGAGATCTCACCCAGTGTCATGGCTCTAAATATCATCTACACACTGATGATGCCATTTCTTACCTGCAGCCCAGGCCTCTTCAACTCCAGACGAGAGATGCAACTGTCCCGTCAACATCACCACTTGGATATCCAACTGGCATTTCACCTATACCCATCTTCAACTGAAATGCTGATCCCCATCCCCAACCTGCTTCCCTCAAGGGCTTCCATGTGTCCCTAAGTGGTAACTCCATCTCTTGGCATCATCTCTTTTCTCTTGACTTCATCCAAACCATCAATCAATCTTGGCTCTGCCTTCAAAATGTATGCAGAATCTGATCACTTCTCTGCATCCCCATTACAAGTATCACTGCCTCTCACCTGGATTACTGCAGCAGCCTCCAGACAAGCATCCCAGCTTCTGCTCAGCCCCATTAAAGTCTATTCTTGATTCAGTAGCAGCCAGAGGGATCCTTTTATAATGTTCATGAGATCAAGTCACTCTGCTCAGTCATTTATCAGGGCCCCATTTCCAAGGCCCACATAATCTGCACCCCATGACCCCTCTAACCTGGTCTTCCTCCTCCTCCTCCCTCTTCTCCAGCCACCCCGCCTCCTCTATGTCCCTTGGACTCCCCAGGCACTCTCAGAGCCTTTGCACTGGCTGTGAAATTCTCTATGACTTATTCCAGGCTTTTGGTCACCTTCTCAGCGAGGCCTTCTTGCAACCTGCTCCCTCATCCCTATCTTCTGTCCCATCACTTTCTAATATAGTACATCTTTTACTTGTTTACTGTGTCTTCCACCACTGGAATATCATCTCTCTGACAGCGGGAGTTTGCCCACTGTGCTTACTCCTTTATTTCCACTGCTTAGCACATGGTAGGCACTTAATAATAAATGTGTTAAATTAATGAACTAAGTGGAATGAAGATATATGAAAGAATTCAGAGGAATCAGATTGCCACCAACCCCCAGCCTCTCCTGCACCTCCTCCCCTGCCTGCTAAAGCAAGGTGAAAAGACATCATGAGGAAGTTACTTTGCAAGAGGAAGCCAACTCTTCTTATGGCCCCTCCTCCCCAGTCCTTCTTATCTCCAGTGCCTTAAACTAGAGGTAGATTCCAACACGTCTGGAAACCCTACTACAAAGTCAAACCCAGAGAGGAAGGCTTATATATCAAAATAATTGCAAGATTTTGTTATTATATGTTAGCCAAAAGATGGAGAATATGTGTGGCAACAGATGGAAGTCCTAGACCAAGAAGATAAGACCATAAGTTTAGATTGGGCTGAATTTATCAATATGGGTGCACTTACTAGAGATTTTGGATCCCATGTGCTGGCATGGGGGGTGTTTTACATGTCTACTTGGTTGGCTGAATGAAAGCTGGGTCTCATTAAAAAATCTCCCTGGTATCATCTAGAGGAAAGAATCTGAAGCCTTAAGATTTATTTATTCATCCATTCAAAATTAATGTTGGCTGGCCAGCCACCAAAAGAATTTAAAAATAAAAAGTTGGACAGAATTTATTATGGACAACTCACCTTTTCCCTGAGTCCCTGGAGAAGGCCCAGATTACTCTCCTCACCGAAGTCTTGGGGAAATTCATTGCTGAAGGGAGCATTTTTGAATAGTTTTAGTCTGCTAGAGCTACTATAACAAAGTACCACAAACTGAGTGGCTGAAACTACAGATATGTACTGTCTCACAGCTCCAGAGGCAAGAAGTCTGACATTAAAGTGTTGGCAGGTCCATGTTCCTTTCGAAGGCACTAGAGAATACTGGATTAGCACTGTCCACCCCACTCCAGCCTAATTTATTACATCTGCAATGACCTTATTTCCAAACAAGTTCACATTATGAGGTACTAGGGGTTAGGATTTCATCATATGAATTTGGGGGGAACACATTTCAACCAATAACAAGCACCATAGTCACTGTTTTCCACGGGTCAGGGAATCAGATGGGAGAGACTATAGTTGAAATAGTTGAAATGGCTCCTTGATTTCTTTTTCTTTTTCCTTTTTTCTTTTTCAGAGCAGCTGGTGATACAGTGGCTCCTTGACTTCAATGCAGATACCAGGACCCCGGGTGACAAGGGTTAAGTAGCAGTGTTGAGCTGCCAGAGAGAGAGATGCAGAGACCATGGCATGCAGGTTTACAGGTAATCTGAATGGTCAGACCTGCAGGGATCTTTGGCCTGATCACCAGGCCCCTTGGACCAAAATAGATGGGAAGGCCAGTAGAGTCCTACTTACATAACAAAAGAACTTGAGGCCCAGCTATCAGAGACCCAGCTGCAACAGAGAGGACCTCTCACCAATTTTCCAGATAAAATCAATTCACAAACCCAGGGGCGCCTGAAGGAAGTGGGATGGGCACCCATTTAGGAGGGCCCTGTGAAAACAGCACAAGTTCATACTGGCATACCCCTCAGGACCTCCCCCAGAATCCTGTAGCCACTAACAGGTGTGGCAGACACTATTTCTGGTCTACCACAAAGCCATTTTTCACTTTTAATAAAGTAGTTTTGTTTAAACATGTCCAGCCCCAGGAGATGAAAAATGATTGGTCTAAACCAATCATGGCAACACTGCCCTTTGCAGGTGATAATTATTTTAAATATATACTTGAATGAGGGGCCTTTAAAAAGTTCCTGGAAAGATTTGTATTATCCTCTGAATTTTTTTTTTGCAGATGGCCAGTACAAGGATCTGAACCTGTCACCTGGCTGTTAAAACTCTGCCCTCAGGCCGGCCCGTGGCTCACTCGGGAGAGTGCGGTGCTGATAACACCAAGGCCCCGGGTTCGGATCCCATATAGGGATGGCCGGTTTGCTCACTGGCTGAGCGTGGTGCTGACAACACCAAGCCAAGGGTTGAGATCCCCTTACCGGTCATCTTTAAAAAAAAAAAAACTCTGCCCGCTAACCAGCCAGCCATATCGTTTAAATTCTATTTTTCCAGGAACTTTTGAAATAAATATATATATGTGCGTGTGTGTGTGTGTGTGTGTGTGTATATATATATATATATATATATAATGTTGCTAAAGCCTATGTCTTTGCAACAATATTCTGTTCTATCCAAATATCCTCTGACCCTGATGGCTATTGTTTCCCAGTAACCCAAAATGCTATAAAATTCCTCAATGTGACATTAAATAATTGCCCTTTCTAGGCTGTGGTAGAACAATGGACCTGAAGAAAAATTCTTTTTTTTTTTTTGGCCAGTAGCAGGGATCAAACCCTGGACCTTGGTGTTATCAGCACCATGCTCTACCCAACTGAGCTAACTGGCCAGCCCTTGAAGAAAAATTCTGATAGTGTTATATTTCATTCCTTCTGTTGTTGCTTTACTACTAAAAATCTTCAAAACGTTTCCAAAAAGTGCTGAGACTCCTGAAAGGAAGCCAGGTGTTCACCCCAGGAACTCAGTGCCTAGAGACAGGGGAGGACTCTGAGCTGTCCCTGAAGCTTACCCACAAGGCAAAGACAGTCGTAGCTGATAGCCACCTGAAATTTCCAAAAAGTGCTGAGACTCCTGAAAGGAAGCCAGGTGTTCACCCCAGGAACTCAGTGCCTAGAGACAGGGGAGGATTCTGAGCTGTCCCTGAAGCTTACCCACAAGGCAAAGACAGTCGTAGCTGATAGCCACCTGAATCCTGCATAGCTGCCTCACCCTCTGACCCCTGAGATGACACAGCTAGGTAGGGCAGAGCCATAGCTATTGGCCACCCCAAACCACCCAGAAGCAGCCCAGCCACAGCCATCCTCTACCCTGACACACTGGGAGAGGCACAGATGGGCTCCCAGCCATGTCCAGCCCCAACCTGTCCACAGATGCAACCTACCTTCCCAACAGCCAGCCTCAAGGCAGGAAGTGTGGATAGTCCAATGAAATTCTGAGGCATGGGAAAGGGAAAACCCTGCCCCTTGTCACCATTTTCCCTACCCCAGAGGTAGGTGACAAAGAAAACACTAGAGAACTAGCCAACATGTCCCCTTGCACAGTCTCATGCAGCACCTCTCCATCCCCGACCCCACCCCTGGCCCCCATCCCCAAGGATGCCAATATTTGGGACCCACACTTCCAGGGACCTCAGAATCCTCCCCTTAACAGTGCTCCACTCCAAATGTGCCCCCTTCCAACATCTGCCTCTTATTGAGGGACAACGACCCAGCACCCTAGGTCAGACCAGAGAAAACTCAGGCCCTGGCCCTGCCCATGTGTGCCAGGCCAGGGCTCACTCCAGGGCAACATAATTCCTCTCCAGGGAGGGAAAGCATGGGGGTGGGAGCTGAACCAAGGATCCCAACAAGAAAGGATCACATAGGGCATCTATAGAGCTGGCCAGAAAGAATATAAATGGAGGACTGGCTACAAAATACAATCTTTAACTATTATTTATTTAAAAAGCATTTATTGCAAAGAATGCTGGACACAGTGTGATGTGTGGCTGTGAGCCAACACCATCCATTCCAGGGAGGCAGGAGAATGTCTGCAATACAGGCACATTGACTGTCATGGCTAAAACCTGGCAGCCAACCAGGCACACCACCCATGCAGACACCACTCAAGGGCAGAGGCTGAGAGGGGGCTGCCCCCACCCATACCCCAACCCCAGAATTCTCTCTGCCCTATTCCCAGTCCTTGCAATGCACCCAAGTCCAGCAGCTCCAGACTTCCCTCTGTTCACAGAGAGAGAAGGCCTTGGTGGTCTTAGCGACATCCAAATGTACATGTCCTGCCGACGACTGAAAGAACCTGTGATAGCTAACAAGTGAGAATGTCCAGGTGACAAAAGTTACCAAAACTCCAAGGGACACCAAAGTAAAGGGTGCAGTCGCCATGTCCCAAAGGCAGTGGCCCAGTCCTCTGGCCCCAGATCTAAAGGGCTTGGAGCTCCAACAGATGAGTCCAGAAGGAGGATTCTGTCCTGGTCCCACCCTGGACACCTCTCCACCTATATTTGTCCACAGCTGCCTCAGCACACAAGGATAGCACAGACAGCCAGGGCCAAGTACATTAATTTTTCTCAGGAGCAGGTGACAACTGCAGGCTGCAAAGCCCAGCGGGCTAGAAAAGGTGGGCTGCTCTACCAGGCACAGGCAAGGAAAGGTTGCGGATACAAGGTTCCAGGGGCCTGGCTTCACCAAGGTACACCTGTGGACAGCAGGGCACCTGACTACAAGCCCAGGTGCTTTCTGACCCAGCCCCAAAACTTGTTAGCCAGTTGGTTTGCCAGCTACCAAATGGAGCCAGAACCCACTGCTCGGCCTGCCTCTCTGGGTCCAAAAGAACTTAGGGGCATGGCAGATGCCAGACTTCAGGAGGCTGTTTTCACCAGGCCTCACATGCACATGAGTCAAGAGCTGTGAGGTGGCTGGGAAAATCCTCCCTTGTCCGGGGGCTGCTTCCAGGTTCTGTCCTTTCCCTTCCTCAGTCCCACAGTAGACGTCAGCAAAATCAGGACAGGTTTTACAGGACCATAACAAGTTTTTCTGAATTATTTATGGCAAATGCATGTCTCTGCCACCAGTGTATGTTCCTGTGTGGACACAGACAGTAGCAGGCGAGAGGCCGCCTCCTCCCCAGCCACCTGGTGTGGACAGCTGGGGAAGGGGAGAGGGGATGGTGGCCTCACCCTTGAGCACTTCGGTGTGTGCACTGGGAAGGTAACTCATACAACTGCCCTGTCTTTACATGGTTTCACCATGAGAGCAGCTGGGAAGGGGCAGTGTTAGCCGCCAGCTCCCCCAAGTATTCTCATGTATGCCCAATTGGAAGGGGTGACCACAAATGCCTTCCTCCCCACGTTTTTGTGCAAACAATGTTCTGAAGCAAGCATGCTGTTTTCACAAATGGCCACAAATGCGGGCAACACAGACACAGGGCCTGGCCAGTGGCTGCCCAGGAGGCGTCTGCCTTGGCTGCCGCTCTTCAGTTCCTGGCACGGAAGGGTGAAAAGGGCTTTCCCTCTCACCTGAGGCAGCACAAGCTCAGGGTCCCATGAAGACCTCGCTTCTGGCTCAGAAGTGGCCACAGAGAGGACAGCAGAAGCCCTGTGGGAGGTCGCCAGGTCCACCCCAGGCAGTGGGGCCACAGTGGGAACATCACAGCAAGCACTTTCTGGTTCACATTTTGGGGCTTCACGTCTCACAAAGCCCACTGACCTGGTGAGGCAGAACACCGACGAGCTGCAACAGAAGGACCCAGTGCCGGCAACTGCTGAATGATTCTCAGCAGCAGGTCAGGAACCACGCACGACCCTGTCACTGTCAACAAGGTGGTGGGTGTGTTGGGCAGGGGTTCTGGGTGCCACCAGCCACATATGGCTTCAAGAGCGTTCCTGCATGGTGACTGTCACCCAGACCGGGCGGGGCTTGGGATAACCTTGTCTGCGGAGATCAACGCCTGCCCAGGGGTTGCAGTGGATGAGACATAGTCACTGGTGAGCGGGGACTGTCACAAGGGCTTCCTCCGGAGGCCTTGAGATGTCTACATTCTGCACAATAATAAAAACCCAGAACATTCACTGTTGTCTGCTTTCCTCATTGCTCTGGCCTGTCTAAGCTCACGTTCTCATCTCAGGAGTGCTAGCTGAGGACTCTAGACCCCAACCTTCCCTAAGAGTGCAGGGTCAAGAGCTTTGTGACACAGTGGGTGCTGGAACAATAGAACAAAGGTGAGGGTGGAGGCAGGTCAGGCGTTACCCAAAAGGATGCTGCCCCCACCTCCTGTCTCAGGAGGAACCTGAGGTCAAGTGGAGGAACCCCTGGCTTGGGGCTTGCATCCTCATCAGTGGGGCCAGGGAAGGGTTTGGCTCCTGGGGGTGCCTTCTTCCTGTCTCTTAGTGTCAGTGGATGGGTGTTAGGTGTAGCCCCAGTAGCCTGTGGGCATCTGCTAGTCTGCAGTCTGGTCTATCCCCTCAGGGCTGGGGCATAAGGTCCCTGGAGCCCCTGAAGTCCTCAGCTGCATAGCTCAGTTTCATCCTTGGCCTGCTAGCCTCAGGGTGTCTCAGGCCTCAGAAATAGAGGGAGTGAGACTTCCCTCAGCTCTGAGACTGCCCTAAGTGACAACCAATCCTGGTGGTCCATCCTCCCAGCTGTGAGCCCTTTGGACCATCACCTGCAGGAACAGGTCACCAATGACCTAGGCTGCAGTCTTGTGCAACATGACATGCCCAGATCTGCAAGGAGGGAGACATGGCCCCCATGGCCCAAACCCTGGTCTCATAGGACCAGTCACTAGAATCACAGGAGCAGGTACAATTCTCACTGTAGCTTAAGGCTTGAGGGCCCCCTTTCCCACCATAGCGTGCCCCAAAGATGGATCCGAAGACCCTAGGATCCTGTCCACCTGAAAGGGAACCATCTGGGAACCTGTGGCCAGCAGAAGTTGGTCTCTCAGAAGTGCCCACCCAGAGGTGGGCAGAGTGACTATCAGCCCACAATGGTTGCCAGGCCTAGGGGTCTCTCTCGCCATCACCCTGTCAGTGCTGGGGGCCCAACATCATCTGGGCTTTCCTTAGCACAAAGGATGCCTATTAGGACATGCCCTCCCCTGTGACCTATGGGTGCCAGACTAGGCCTGGGCCAAAGTGGGCCAAGGTGCACACAGACACCCAGAGTAAAGGGGAGAGAAGCCTGCATGGTGACAGGTCCTGGTTGGGAGCAGCAGCTTTGGGAAGGAATAGGACACATTCACACATCTCTGCCTGCAGGGTTCAAGGGCTTGCAGGTAAGCAGGGGCCCCCAGCAGGCTGGGCCAGATGTCCTGGTCCAGACCAAGGCCTGCACCTTCAGCAGGGACCTAGGTTGTAAGCATGCCCCATCATGGATGGCAACAGGCATGACTGAGGCCCCAGGAGCTTTCTCAATGCAGTAGACTCCAGGAACTGGGACTAGCATCCAGAAGAGGAGGTCCTGCCCTTGGCCTCAGTGGGAGACGTAACCAACATTGTAGAGACCCCACATAGGCATTGAGAGTGGTTCTGGGCAATACTCCAAGGAGCTTCTGCCTTAAACAAGGCACCTGGGGAAGATGGGATGGTGAACCATTCTTCCGGAGGAAGGTCTCCGACCAGTGCTGAGCCCCTCGGTATCCACGTGGCCCTTTCCCCAACAAAGCACAGCACTATTTTAATTTTTTAAAGGTGCTTGAGTTAGAAAAGGTGCTCATGAGGCCTGGGCTGGGGGATGCGGGGCATGGAAGAATCCCCACCTGCCTCCTTGTAGGTCTCTAGCCTTTCTCAGCTGCCCCCCCCACCCGTTTGACCCCTCAAGTCCTAGGGCCAACCACACCCAAGCTCAAGCACTTCCTAACCTGGTGGCCCAGTCCCAGGGATTTCCCCACCCACAGGGCAGCTGGCCTTGGGAAGGCCTAACCCAGGGTCACCCCCAGAGCAACAGCCCTCACCCTGACAACAGGAGAACAGACTTGGCAGAAGACTCAAGTTCTCCCTGGGAGGCACCCAGCTGGGCCTGGCCCTGGAAGATGTGGTGTCCGGCCCCCAGGAATGTGCCTACCACACCAGCAGCCCCCATTGCTACCTGAGGCCTGTCCCGGTGCGTGTTCACAGCCGCCACATTCAGGAAGATGGACTCCACTTTACAACCTGCCAAAAAGAAGATGTAAATCCATTCCTCCTCCTAAAGGCAAGTGGAGCCACAGAGGACAGAAACTTCTCTCAGGAGGATGCTGGGGTTTGGGGAATGAAACAGCCGTCTCAGCCTCACTCTAGCCCCTCCAACTTAGGCAGCTCTGGGGAGCCCCGTGAGGAAAGATGAGGCACCCTGTCAGACGCATGCTTATCCCTGTGTGACTGCCCAGACAGAGCCACACTGAGGTCCCCACACTGCACAGAAGAGCAACAGGTCTAAGCTCAACATGAGGCCACTTATCTCACCATCTGCAGGGTCCCAAATCACCCATACCCCAGCCCGACCACACAAGGCCTAATCAACCTCATGACAGGCTGTAAAGCTAGGCGACCACCCCAGTTGTCAGGCTCTTTTACCTGCTGGTAATCCTGCACCAACTGGGCCAATTGTCAAGCTAAGGCTGGGTCTGGAGCTCCCAGACCCCTGAAGCCCATTCACAGACTGGGTCACAAACCCTTCATATGCCAGGCTGGGTCCGCACGCAGGTCTATGATCTAGGTAACAGCCAAAATGTCCTTGGAGCCACAGGTTGGAAAGCGTGGCTGCCCGGGGCAGATGCCCGAGGCCGATACCCACCCGCCTGCTTCACTAAAATTCTCTCTCTCAAGAACACAATAGCAACAAAACTAAAAAGATATATTGGCACACATGCGCACTAACTCCACACACACACACACACACACACACACAATTTGCTTACAAAGAATGCTGAACCACATTGGTACACATGCGCACTAACTCCACACACACACACACACACACACACAATTTGCTTACAAAGAACGCTGAACCACATTGGCAACATGCGCACTAACTCCACACAGACACACACACACACACACAATTTGCTTACAAAGAATGCTGAACCACATTGGCACACATGCGCACTAACTCCACACACACACACACACACACACACAATTTGCTTACAAAGAATGCTGAACCACATTGGCACACATGCGCACTAACTCTCCCCCCCCACACTCACACAATTTGCTTACAAAGAATGCTGAACCACACCCAACTGGACCTGAGGCGAGGGCCCCGGATCAAACTATTCTATTTTTCCAACACAGGCACCCCATGCAATAAGAGACGACAGAATTATCACACACTGTAATGACATCAGCGGCCACTGAGCTTTACAGTCATTCTCCAAAGAGCACCTGTGTGAAAGGTGAGGAGCAATGCTCAGGAAATTAGGAAATTGCCTGAGGTCTCTCCTGGCATAGCAAGAGGCAGGGGTGGGACTCAAACCTCCACTTACCCAGAATATTTTAAGGTCCAGGCCCTGGGAACCATGGGGCTTTGTAGGGGTTTTGGAAAAACCAGTAGAAAAACCCCTCTTGCAGGTAGGCAATGGGTAAGGAAGGATGTTGGGAAAACAGAATAATTTAATCAGGCCCCCTCGCCTTGGGGCAGGTTGGGGGTGGTGCAGCATTCTTTCTGGGTAGGTTGTGTGTGGGTGGAGTTAGTGTGCATGTGCCCCAATGTATCTTTTTAGTTTTGTTGCTATTCTTGTGTTCTTCAGAGTTTGTGAAGCAGGCTGGCTGGTGGTCTACTGCCTCGGGTGACCACCGTGCCACCACGGCCATGCTTTCCAACCTGCGGCTTCCAAGGACCTTTTCCCGGTTACCTAGCTCACAGACCTGCGTGGGGTGGGGGAGTGGGGGTCTGGTGACCCAGCCTGGCATGTGAAGGGTTTGTGACCCAGTCTGGACAACGGGCTTGAGGGGTCTGTGAGCTCCAGACCCAGCTCTAGCTTGACAATTGGCCTAGTCAGAGCAGGATTACTGGCAGGTAAAAGAGCCCTACAACTGGCATAGTCGAGTAGCTTTACACAGGATAACTGGGGAGCTGTCCTGTGGCCACACACATTTTTTAACAATAAACTTTAAAAAACAAAAACAAACAAACAAACAAAAAAACCAATAAACTTTAAAAGCAAATTGGGAAAGGTAGTGCGGTGGGGGGAGGAGGAATGGGGTCCTAATGGGATTTTTCAAGGGATTTACAGAAAATCATGGAACCCTGCAGAGATCCAAAGTCATGACAACCCAAGGTCAATGTGCAGGAATCTTCCTTACCATACGCCACAGGGGTCAGCTTCAGGACTGTGTGCAGCGGACATTTGAGGTAGGGCAGCTGTTCTGTGGACACAGAAGGGGACAGTTGGCACACCAGGGATGCCTGTATGACAGTCCCTCTCTCGCGTACATACACATATGCCCCCTCCCGGGCCAGGCCCACACCTGCCGCTTTGTCAAGGAAATAGGCCAGGAGGCAGCGCATCACAGCCTGGTGGCAGATGACCAGCACGTTCTCTTGCCTCTCCAGCTCCATGATGACAGGCTCCAGTCGCTGGACCAGGTCCTCGTATGACTGCCAGGACAAGCAGGGAAGGTGTCCCCCAGGCTCGGCTCCAGGAGCGATGGAGACACCCTGGGTAATGGCCACCTTCCCGCTCCCGGAGCTCCTCCCCTCCTGGGAGGTTGTGGCTAGATCTCCTGTAGCCTGACTCCTGAGGGCATGGAATGGACAGCTGGCCCTTGAGGACTGTGACAGAGAGATGTCTGGCTTAAGCTGGGGGCAGAGGGTGTGGGCAGCCTGGGAAAGGGGCCACTGCCCCCATCCCAGGGCCAGGTCCTGGTAGGATAGAGAGGGCAGGGCTAAACCTCAGGTTCCCATTCCAAGGAGCCCTGCACTGAACCCTCTGCTGTGGGGAATTCACATGCCGGCAACTGTGATGGTGACAAAGACACTGCTCCCTTCCAGATCCCAGCAGACAGTGCAAGGAAAGGGTGGTGGGGCAGGGAAGCAAAGGACCTGGGACTTCTTGGGCCAGGACAGTCAGAAACACCTGAGTTTATCTACCTGCCCTGTACCCTCCTCCACTCCACCCCCCTCCACTGTCCCTGCCAGATGTACACAGTGGACCCTGCTGGTCCTTCGACCAACCCCTCAGCCTGGCAGGTTAAGAGATTTTCATCAGAGAACTGGGCCTAAGCCCAGGTAGAGTTTCATGCCTCTGCACACAGTGAGTGGTCCTTCCAAAAAGGCCTCTGCCAGTTGGAGCTGAATTTGTCCCATGCTTTGATTAGGAAGCAATGACAGCACATTGGTTCGAGCTGGCCTCTAGTAGTTCTGGAGAAACCTAGACCAACTCTTTTGGTACCTGTAATTTCCCGACCAATTTTTCCCTGTATTCTCAAGTTTGAGCACCAGTTGCTTTATTTCTCTTCACTGTTATCTGGGTTGCTTCTAAATCTGAACTCTACCTCACAGTACGATGTGGGATATAATCAATGCTCTCTAGAGCCATATTGTTCCTGAGAGCAGTACAGTACAGGGGCCCATGAGCCTGGCATCTGGGTGGGAGTGTGTCTACATGTGTACATGTGTGGATACACACGTGTGTCTGTGGGAGGTATTTTTATTTGGTCACTACCCCAGGCCACCTCCTGGAAGTGGGAGAAGATGCCTAAGTCAAAGGTGACCCCATTTCTGGCCTGGGGCCTAGGCTGACCAAGAGCCTGTCTGTGAGAAGGTGATATGTGCAGGTGGCCATGGTGGCTACAACTTATCTGGGGACATTCTCCCTGGGTCTGGAACCGTGGCTGGGGGTGGTGCCTGGAGCAGCAGGGAGGAGGGATCACCCTGTGACAAAGGGAAGCATTCAGAGCAAGGGCAAAGGCCAGGGCAGAGATGTGAGTGGCCTAAGACCCAAGTCTCAGGTCCAGCATGGAGTCCCTGACTCCTTGGCCACTTGAGCACCTTGGGAAGAGCTGACAACACCCTGGGATTGCCAGAGGACCCTGAGCTATCTGCAGGGGTCCTGGGAGAGCCGAGCCCCGTGGAGCCAGGACTACTCACCTTAGGCCCTGTCCTTCCCAAATCTCCACCCCTGGGAAGGGGGAAGACAAAGACAGGGAGAACAGGGACCCTACAGTCTCAGGGCTGGATGCCTGCCCTGTGTAGCACCAACCACCCACCATCCAAAGAGGGGACTGAGTTCTGGGCCACAGAGCTGGGAAGTGGTAGAGATGAAACACCCCAGGCTGGCCTACCTCTGAGGCCAGCCTCTTCCACTGTCCACACGACCTCTGCAGAGCCCCAGAAGCCCCTGCTACAGGCAGTGCTCTCAGGCAGGCAGCAGGTAGTGGGGACTGAGCCCGAGATCCCACCTACCTCCCCCTTGGGGTACCGGTACCGGTACTTGTCCTGGTCTCGCAGAGCAAACTCCAGTGGATAATGTTCCTGAATTTCCTCGTAGGTCATTTCCTCACAGACACCCTAGGGAGACACCACAGTCATCACACCTCCCATGCCTTGTGTCAAGGGAACAGCAGGCAGAGGAGATCAGGTTTACAGGGTATTTCCTGGGCCAAGAGGATCCACCCAGCTCAGAACTTAGACCCTGTCTGGGAAGAGCAGGCCCTCTAGGAACATAGCATTAGGATAGCCCCTCTTCTGTAAAAAGCTACCAGAAAAGTCTTGTCTACCCATCCATTGTCCATCCATCCAGTTTATGCTATAAAAATGAACAGAGAAGTGTGAATTATGTATTTTTTTTGTGCTGTGAAAATTCTACTTCTGAGTACAGATTGTCATGCAAACTATAAAGCAGGACTTCACTACTGTCATTTGGGATACACACACACACACACAGAGCACAGATTACCTTCTACAAATGCCATAAAACAAAAACAAAAAAACAAAAAAAAACAAAACCCAGGAGAGAAGAATGCCGATTAAAAACACTTACATGTAATTTAAGGGCCCAGAGAGGCCCAGAGCAGGTAGGCCATCCCTTCATCAGCCATGACCACCCCTGACTGAGCCCACATTATGAACGGCATTATGGAGCACTTCCCTGGTACCCTGTGAGGAGTGACAAGCTCCCCCCAATCCACTCCTCTGCTAGGAGCCCAGACCTGTCTGAACTGACCAATGTCTGTCCTTCCAAGGCTCAAGCCAAGAGTTAGCAGAGAGGACACACCCAGTAGAGGAAGAAGCAATAAAACACCCCTAATAAAAAGCTGCTGGTCTATGCTCTTGTTCTAGGTTTGTTTCTACAAAACCTTGGGAGCAAAGTTGTCTATTAAAAAGAAAAGATAAAGAAGAAAAACTGTACCTGTAAATGCCTATATCAAAAAAGAAGATCCCAAATCAATCATCCCTACTGGGAAAAAAAGAGCAAATTAAACTCAAAGCAAGCAAAAGTAAGAAAATAATGAAGATTAGTGCAGAAATTACTGAAATCTGAAATATTTACAATTTTTTTTTTTTGTGGCTGGCCAGTATAGGGATCCAAAGTATTACAAGGTGGCACTCTTAGCAACTGAGCTAACCAGCCAGCCCAATTACTGAAATAGAGAACAGAAAAACAATAGAGAAAAGCAATGAAATCAAAAGTTAATTCTTTGAAAAGATCAACAAAATTTAGAAATCTATATTAGCTAGACTAACCAAGAAAAAAAGAAAGCCCAAATTATTAAAAACAAGAATGAAAGGGGACATTACTCCCAACCTTACAGAAATAAAAAGGTTTATTAGGAAACACTATGAACAACTATATATTGCCAAATTAGATAAATTAGATGAAATGGACAAATTCCTAGAAAGACACGAACTACCTGTTGTGGGTTGAATTGTGTCCCCAAAAAAGATATGTCTAAGTCCTAACCCCTGGTACCTATGAATGCCACCTTATTGGGAAATAGGGTCTTTGTAGATATGATCAAGTTAGGATGAGCACATATTGGATTGGGGTGGGTCCTAAATCCAACGACTGGTGTCCTTCAATAAGGCCATGTGAAGACACAGACATATACACACAGGGAAGAAGACTGTGTGACTACAGAGGTGGGGATTGGAATAAGCAGCTACAAGCCAAGGAATACCAAGGGTTGTTTGCAACATCCAGAAACTAGGAAGAGGTGAGGAAAGATTCTTTACTAGAGCTTTCAGAGGGAGCGTGGTCCTGCTGACACCTTGATTTTAGGCTTTTAGCCTCCAGAACTGTGAGAAAATAAATGTCTGGGGTTTTTTTTGTTTTTTTTTTGTCTTTTTTCCGTGTCCGGCAACGGATCGCAACCCTCAGTGTCGCCCCCTTATCCAGTGCGCCACCGGGCCGGCCCCAAATGTCTGTTGTTTTAAGCCACTCATTTTGTGGTATTTTGTTACAGCAGCCCTAGGAACGAGGAAGTAAAGTGTGGCTATAATTAATAACTAAAAATGTGGAAGTAGTTATAGAATTGGGTAGAGGGTAGAGGCTGGAAGAATTTTCAGGTGCATGATAACAAAAAGCCTAGATTGCCATGAAGAGACTGACTGTTGGTAGAAATACGGACATTAAAGGTGCTTCTGGTGAAGGCTCATAAGAAAGTAAAGAGGACGGTAGAGAAAGCTTCAATCCCCTTGAAGAATACATGTCACCGTGAACAGAATGTTGATAGAAATATAAATGTTAAAGGTGCTTCTGTGAAGCTTCAGAAGGAAATGAGGTGCATATAACTGACACTAGAGAAAGCATGATCTTTGTTATAAAGTGGCTGACCTGTGTTCTAGTGTTAGGTGGCTACAATCAAAAAGACAGACAGTAAGTGTTGGCAAGAAAACAGAACCCTTACACGCTGCTTGTGGGAATGTAACATGGTGCAGCTACTTTGCAAAACAGTCTGGCAGTTTCTCAAAAGGTTAAAAGTTGAGTTACCATATGACCCAGTAATTCTACTCCTGGGTATACAGTGAAGAGAAATAAGAACCTATGTCCACACAAAAACTTGTACATGAATATTCATTGTAGTATTATTCAGAGTAGCCCCAAAGTGGAAACAACCCAAATACCCATCAACTGATGAATGGATAAATATAATGTGATATATCCATATAATAGAATGTTATTTGACAATATAAAGTAATAAAGCACTGATACATGTTACAGCATTGATGAACCTTGAAAACTTTATGCAAAGTGAAAGAAGCCAGACACAAAAGCCTACACATATCATATAATTCCATGTATATAAAATGTCCAGAATAGGCAATTCTATAGAGACAAAACAGATTAGTGGCAGCCTAGGACAGGGTTGGAAAGGAGGGGTTGGGAGGAAATGGGGAGTGACTGCTGATGGGTCCAGGATTTCTTTTTGGGGTGATGAATTATTCTAAAACTGATTGTGGTGATGGTTGCACAACTCCGTGAATATACTAGAGTCCGGTAAATTATACACCTAAAATGGGTGAACGCTATGGCATGTGAGTTATATCTTAATAAAACTGTTATTTTTTTTAAAAAAGGAAATATAAGGCAGTAAATTGTGGATTAGACTAGTAAAAAAATCACAATGCTTAAAGAGAAGGCTAGCCCAGGGCTATTTATCAGAACACAGGAAAAGAAAAAAGATAAACATTATAAACACGGAAAGATAATAGATCATAAAAATTATAATACTTTCAAAACCTGAAAGATAAAGAGGGAAATCCACAAGCATCTAGAAAAATAATCAGATTAACTTCAAAGGAAAAACACTGAACAGCTGGAAGCTTCTCTGCAAAACCAAATGCTAGAACCACATTCACATACTTGGAGCAAAGACACCTCCCCATGACCTGTCTCAGGTAGCTGCTGTTTGTATGAGAAAGAAATCAGTGGCTGGAGCCACAAAACGGGTTAAATGAGCTACGAAACAGGTTCCAAAAATAGCTTACTTTTTTGAAAGTTATCATCAAATGTGAAGAAGAGAAAAAAACAGATAAAAAATAAAACCCCGATGCTGTACTCTGTCCAATCACATTAATAAAAAAACGAAGCAGAAAGGAAACAAATAAAAATAACACACTCTCATCTTTCCCAACAGAGTCAAGAATTATTTTTTGTTACTAACTTGATAAGTGTATTTTAATTATTCCTCTCTTTATATGCATCCTGCTTAAGAGTGCCTTTGAAAGCCTTAAGGTAATTACTGGAATAAAAAAATTGCCTACCTTCCAAATCACAGAAAAGATGTCTACATAGAAAAATTGAAATAAAGAGAAAACTGCAAGGAATTGAAAACAAGATCAAATACACTAAAAAACAAATAATAATAATAAATGGTTTTAGATTTTTTAATGAAAAAAGCTCTTTGGCTAGGCTAAAAAACAAACTAAATATATGCTCCTTTCACGGGAAAAAAAATGATACGAAATGGTTAAAAAAAAAGGAGGAAGTATAACAAAAAAATATGGACAAAAAGCAGAGATGGCAAATTAAAACCACAATGAGATACCACCTCACACCCATTAAAATGACTACTACCAAAAAAACAGAAAATAATAAGTGTTGACAGGGATGTGAAGAAATTGGAATCTTTGCATTGTTGGCAGGATTGTACAATGGTGCAGCTGCTGTGGAAAACAGTACAGCAGTTCCTCAAAAAATCTAAATAGAATTACCATATGATCTAGCAATTCCACTTCTGGGTATATACCAAAAAGAACTGAACTGAAAGCAGGGTCACAAAGAGATATTTACACACTCATGTTCATAGCAGCATTATTCACAATAGGTAAAAGGTGGAAGCAATCCGGTATCCACTGACAGATGAATATATAAGCAAAATGTGGTATATACATACAATGGAACTTTATTCAGCCTTAAAAGGGAAGGAAACTCTGACACATGCTACGACATGGATGAACCTTGAGGATGTTAAGTTAAATGAAATAAACCAGTCACAAAAAGACAGATATTATATGATTCCACTTATATGCGGTACCTAAAGCAATCAAAGTTATTAAGAAAGAAAGTGGTTTCCAGGGGCTGGGGGTGGTGGTGGGTGTGTAGAGATTGGGGGGTTATTGATTAATGGATATAGTTTCTGTTTTACAAGATGAAAAGAGTTATGGAGATGGATGGTGGTGATAGCTGCACAACAATGTGAATGTACTTAATACTGCTGAAATGTACACTTAAAAATGGCTAAGATGGTAAATTTTAAGTTATGTGTATTTTACCACAATAAAAAAAATTAGAAAAACAAAAGCAGGGATGGTATTATTCAAATTAGTCCAAGTATAAATTCACGTAAAAAGTGTTTCTTATTAAAACAGGAACTATCCAAAATAAAGACCAAATCTGCTCTGGCCCCAACATAAACAACTAAAAAAAGGACAAAAAATATGCAACAACTGTATTTAGACACTGGACAACAGGCAGAGCAGGACTGTGACCCTTGAAAGAAGGGAAACAAGGTGAGCCTACGACTGCAGCAGCTTACTTCCCAGAGGCACTTCCTGTAGTGCAGAGC